AGCTGTGGACAGATCTCTTCAACGAAGGGAGGCTATGATTCAGCTTTTAAAATTTCACCTTTTGAGGGCTCAACACAGAATGAAGGTACAAGCAGACAAACATAGATCTGAGAGGCAATTGAAGGAAGGAGATTGGGTATGGCTTAAGCTCCAGCCATACAGACAGCAGTCTGTGCAAGCCAGGCCTAATCAGAAGTTGGCTCCTAAGTTCTATGGGCCATTCCAGATACAAGCCAAGGTTGGGCAAGTGGCTTATAAACTGGAATTACCCCAGACATCTCAAATACACCACACGTACCATGTCTCTCAGCTTAAGGAATTCAAAGGGGTTCTTCCTACTAAGTCTCACATTCCAGACTGGTGGCAAGGAAGGGATGTGGAAATGCCTCTCAAACCAGTGGCCATACTGGAAAGAAGAATGGTGAAACAAGGGAACAAGGCAGCTGTCCAATATTTGGTGCAATGGGAGGGCCAAAATATAGAAGATGCTTCTTGGAGAAATGCTCAAGAGATGGAAGACAAATTCCCAGAATTTTTCAGTATATAGTTTCCTGTGTAATCTGTAAATGGGGTAGGGGATTCTTTTCTTTTGAAGGGGGAAGGAATGTTACAGTAGGGAAACAGTTGAGCTTTTAGGGGAGAGTTGGTTAAGAAGTTGTTGAGTGGTTAGAGGTAGTTGAAGATATTTTCCAAAATATCTCCCCTTTAAATACCCCAAGATACATTGTACATTGAGGTTGAGTAATGAAATAACTCTTTTCTACATCCTTCTTCTTCCCCCACTTCTCTGTCACGTAACAGAAGCTTTACAGCTTCTGTGTTTTAGCTCATCCTCGAAGATCTCTTCTCCATTACAAGATCTTCCTGCATTGACGCTAACATAAAATATGACATTTTCCGAGTTTTTTTGAATTGCTAATCTTTTTATATCATTCCATTAATAATTGCATGTTGAAAGTAAATTCTTGTTGTGATTTACACAGTACTCCATGCATCCCAAAATGGGTGGCCCTCTTGGAAGGACGTGCAAAACCCTATGTTTCTTTAATTTAATACTATTTACAAATTAGTATAAAAATAAAAAAATAAACTTACATGTTTAAAAACTACTCCATCTGTCCAAGTTTGGTGGCATTCAACTAGGTTGTCGTTGTTGATGTTGTTGTTATTCTTTCTTTTGTCCAAATTGGTTCTTCCCATTACGTGTTATAAGGTTTGACCGACTTTATTTTCAATTCAATTCATTTGATGTAGGTGTAAAATTCAAAAATAAAATTTACATACTTAAAAACTAGAAAAATGTACTACAAAATAAAAGGTGACATGATTACGTGGGTGTTTCTCTGTGGTTATAAGCTGGTCAAAACTGCTTATAAGTAGTTTTTAACTTATAAGTCAGCTGATGACATGTTTTGGTGTGCTTATATGCTGACTTATAAGCCAAAAAAATAAGTAGATCTTAGCTAATATTCTCCGTTTTGACTAGATTATTTACAAAATTGTCCCTCACCATTTATGAATATTTCCAAGTGAGGTGTCTATCATTTATGTCATTATATTTTGATTAAAGAATATTTGATTTATAAGCAGCTTATAAGTTAAAATCTGCTTATAGCAATACGCCAATAAGTACCATCACAGAGAAACACCTCCTATATTATATCATGAAATGAGTCGTGAAAATAATAAAACAAGGTGAATAAAGTTTGACCATATGAATAGTGTAGGGGAAGAACTGACTTGGATGGATGGGATACATCAAAAGTTTTACAAAATAAGAGGTGACAAAAAAAATTACTTTATCAAATGATTAATGAAAACATGTAAAGCAACAAATGTTATCGGGAGGCCAGAATAGTGGTAGTGAAATCCATTTAGGAACGGAGGGAGTACGTAGAAAATCTCACCTTCTGTGGTTTTGGTAGTAGTTATCAAGTTGATAATAAATATATATTGGAGACTTCATGTGCTTAGGAACCTGTAGAGGAAATAATGCAAACCAAAAGTTAAATGAATGCAAGGTATCATACATGTGAGATAAAATCCACGGACCATTAGGCTAGTATTGCAATGAAATGCTACCTTTAAGTATCGGGTACAATTTTTGGAAACTGAGTCATCTTTGATATATGCAACTTTGCTGTTTCTAAATGGTACGGGTACACACTCATTATCATATCTATCCACAATCTCAACAACCTGCAATGCAAACATAATTAGTCCTTCAAGGTAGACTAGCACATAACTGAATAGAGCAAGGATACTAAAAACATCATATCACAGTCACTAGACGTTAGATAAAAATATTACACTCTGTGAAGCATGAAGAAAGAGGAGCCCCATGGGAATGAAGACGATTCCTATAATGAAAAATGTTGAAATGACCTGCAAGGACATAACAAAGAATCACTCAAGCAATTTGTATGAGCGGAAAGAGGCCGATGAAGTGGATCTGCCAAGCATAGAACTGTGCTTGCTTACCCATGCTGGTGTTAGAACAGGTTTACAGGCTGGCAAGTTTTGTTGTGTAAACTGGTATACAGCTGCAAGTTGTCAAACATACAAAAATCACTACTAAGGTTCATATAAACATATGCCAATGCATCAGTATCAAGTATCAAGTATCAAGAAATTGACCTATACAAAGAAGGCACTGTGTTGTCAACTACTATACATACAAATTGACAATGTGATACAAAATGGAAATGGTAAGATGATATTAAAGTTCTTCTTGTCATAAGTTCAAATTACTTTACTTTGTCATTAATTGAAACGAGATTCTTTTTTCAAAGATGTAAACTTAAATTGAAGCAAAATAAACCCATGAATGTGAAATCGCTTGCCTTTTCTCCAGCCACGAAGAGGAACTGCAGAGGAACTACTAGGTTCATCCATTCAATGCAATTTGAAAACAATACCTGAAAACGGGAAATAATTGAGAGCAGAATAAGGTTAAAGATAGCATTTTGAAATCAAGACTTTGAATCGAAACATGGAAATTGGTGGATCGAGTGGGGAAAATGAACAGTTACTTTGAGAGATCAATCGAAGATGAAGGATGTTAGGCATTTAATACTCCGTAAGACCTGAAATAGAGAAAGAATCGGAAATTTAGATTTCACCTGAAATGGAATTGTAATTTGCGAGAAATGCGATTTGATCTTCCGAAGATGGGACGAATTGAAGTAAGGAATCTCAAAAAGGTTCAAAGCTTCTGGTTTGGGAAACTGTTTGGAAAACTAATCCACAGTATAATTTTCGATTTATTTTAACGGTTGATAATAAAAGAGTTTGAGTAAATTTTATAAAAGGTTTATGGAGTATATATTTAATTCATACATATCAAATATTAATAATATAGTCTCTAATTAATATATTGTTTTCCACGAATGGTCTTTTGTTAACATTTTCCGTTAAGAACGTAAATAAAATTGTAAATTCATACTTCTCTTTCCATTAACCTCGCACTCTTTTCCCAAACTCGTTTGAACCCAAAACTGAAATCATCACTCCTTTCTCAAAGTTTTGTCTTCTTGATGGAACTCAAAATTGAAACCAGTAACCTTCACGGATGAGTTTTAAGGTTTGTTTTCTTTGCAATATCTTGAGACCAATTCATAAAAATTATCCGTGAAGGTTATTGGTTTCGATATTGGGTTACATCAGGAAGATGAACAATTGAGACAGGAGATTACATCAGTTTCATATACAATTCAAAATGTTGCTCGTGATGCGTCGTTTTTTAATTACAGTTGTTTTCTACTACAACCATAGTCTACAGATATGATTTTTCTTCGCAATCCTACCTCACAATCATTGATATTATTTTTGTATTATTCGTCTAACCAATATTGGAATATGTCACTAGACATAAGATTGATGACAAATTATACTTTTAGTTTTTAAATTAATATCAACATGACAAAAGATTAAAAAAGACTACGGAGACAATATTTGATAATAGAGGACTAAATATTAAAACTTCTAAATGGGGCCACATCAACACAAAAGTCTAAAAGTTCGGAGCTTACGAGGAATGCTCTCAATCGTAGAAAAGCGGGATGAATGATGCTGATGTACTGCGTCAAGCCACCGCCCAGAATCAAGACGACGAACACCAAGGCAAAGTCTCTGTTGATCTTTAAAGAATTTTAAGTCGTTCAACGAAATTGCAACAACTCAACAACTCCGAGGCCGGATCATCAAAGAAAAGATCATATGGCGAGGTTGAAGCCGATGATACTATTGGCTCGTTGGAACAAAGGCCTCCCGTCAACCTAGACGACTCTAATGATGAGGACCCCATTTTATAACCGATCAGAAGAAAGAAGACAAAATCAATTACCTTGGGTTCTACAGAGTCTGGCTTTGTTTCCTCTCACGATGATATCAGCTGGGCAAAGGTTGAACAACTGCGGGTGTTCAATATTAAGGAAGAAGAGAGGGAGAAACGAAATAGAGAGAAGGAGGAGCTGGAAATTATGAAAACCAGTCTTTATACGTTAGCGGGCTTCAAGCGTATGTATTACACTATTACGAGTAAGGACAAAACGAGATCACGGCTAAATATAATTTGCCTTAGTTTTTTTTAAAAATGTGATTTTTTAAAATTTAGTATTCTTTTTTATTGAATGTAATTTTTTTGTTTGATGAATTATTGTCGTATAAGTTCAACTAATTAATGAAATCTTATTAATTTAATTTTACAACATGTGTAATAAAAATTTAAAAAAATAAAGGCTCGAAGCCTTAGTTTGAAGCCCCCGAGGCTTCAAACTCATTTCCAATGAAACTATAATGTAAGTTAAAGGGCAGCGAAAGCAAATCTGACAGAGAGAAGGTTTGATACCCCAGTTTAAAGTCTGGGGCTTCAAACCCATTTCTGGTGCTCTAAGGACAATACGGTTGAATCTCGGAAAAGTAAAATTTGAGAGGGTATGTATACCCAAACATTACTCCTGCTCGAATATAGGGAGGTTGTTTTCAAAGAGACCATCAACTCAAGCACCGTGTTAGTAAATGGTATACATCCAATGAAAAAAAGTCTCTTCCGTAAAAAAAAGTATGTTTTCTTTGAAATGCCATTTATATATTTACCATCTAACCCCATCTATTTCTACAAAAAAAGCACATATAATCTTAAGGATTATGCAAAAGTAAACACACACAAAATTACCTAGCATTAAATTATGTTAAAATCAATTCAATAGAGTAACTTAATTGTAGGAGGGTCATATGAAGTATAATTAGAAACTAATAAGTTTTCCTTAAATGAAACTAAAAAAGAAGTTTAAGTAATAAATATCTTACATTGCATTGTTTCCACTATGCTGGTCCAAATAAAAAACATTTTATAACTAAGAAGTTTATAACTCTTCTCAACATTACTAGGCACTATATCACACATTCCCTTCCCCCATTGGCTTTTTCTTCCAAAACATCAAACTCCAACCCTCCAAGGTCTTTTCAATTTCTTCAATGTCAAGTCCTTTTGTTTCGGGCACGTAAACTAGGACGAACATCAATGCGAACACAGACACCATGCCGAACACGAGAAAGGTCAATGACGTTCCAATGATGCGAGTTAGTGACAAGAATGATTGCGCTACAATCAAATTTGAAATCCAATTAGCCATTGCAGCAATGCCTCCACAAAATCCCCTGAACCGCAATGGGTATATCTCAGAGTTCACAATCCACGGGACCGTTCCCATTCCTGGGGAGAAGAAGATGATATACATGGACAATCCGACCAATGCCAACCATCCGAACCTACTCGGACACCCCTTGGTGTACCATAGTCTGCCTGCCTCCTGACAATCTCTCTTAACGGTGTCGTTCGAGATCAAACAAGCTCCTGGATATAACTGTTAAAACACAATTACATAAACCCAACACACTAACAAAGTAAAAGTATCCACATCAAAAAATTAAAGAATCCTTTAATGTTTAAGGGAGCGTCTAAAATGACATCAGTTACTTATACAACAGTTCATTTGGGGTACCAGGTGCTCCATTTGTAAAAATGATGGTTCCTATCCTTCTAACCCTTCACCTAAACCCCCCACCCTAGCCCCACCATTGCCCCCCACTCCAGCCCCCCTCCCTATATACTGCTTGGCAGTATAATGCCAGGGTAGGGAGGGGAGCGGGAGGGGGCTGAGGTGGGGAGGTAAGGGTGGGGCTAGGGTGGAGGGTTTAAAAAGAGAGTTAGAGGATAGAAACAGTTATTATCACAAAGTGGACACCGGACACTTTAGTATTCCAAAGGAATTGGTGCACACCCGCGGGTGTCTAGACTTAACTCAATGTGTAATTAGGCATTATGAATAGGCAGTGATTACCTTGTTCTCAGACGAAGAACAAAAGCCGCAACCGGTAGATTTCAAACACTGGGTACAATCCCATATCCTATGATATTCGGCATCGCCGCCGTGATAGGCGGCAGGACAGGCGAGTCCCGAGAAATGCGCAGTTTCCGCCTGGCTAATTCTCGGTGAACCAGAGGTAGTCAAGTGGAAGACCGCCGATAGAAAGCCCAGAGAGATGACGACACCGCAGAGACTGAAAACCAGGAGCTTCTTCCGTCCGATCCGGTCGATGAAGCACACGCTCACGACGGAGCCGAGTGCGTTGAGGCCGGCGGTGACCAGCGAGAGAAGAAGCGCCGTTCGGTTGGAGGAAACTCCGGCGAGCTGGACAATGGTGGGGCTGTAATACATGACGGTGTTGATTCCGACGAACTGCTGGAAAATCTGAAGCCCCACGCCGGCCGTCAGCCCCCGCCGTAAGGCTTTGATTCTGAGCAGTTTCAGGAGGTTTGTTTTCTCCGATTTGTCGGATTCTTTTTCTTCCTTCTCAACTGAATCTTTCAGAGCTTGGATCTCAGATTCTACTTCTTCCGGCGAGAATATTTTTCTCAAGATTGCCTTTGCTTCCTCTGTTCTCCCCTGTTTTTTCCAAACATGAAAGGCATTATTTATTGAGAATTTGTAATATTTCTACTTCTTCCGGCGAGTGGCTAATCCAGTGGCCACAGAAGAAGCCACTGTCCCCTACGAGTTCAATTCATAAAATTGATGATTCCTACCCCTAGCCCCCGGTAAACTCTCCCGCCAAATCCCGACCCAAACGCATCCCCCCACTTACGTCAATTGCAACTCGTAAGTCAATTATACTTACGAGGTGCAATTGACGTAGGTGGGGAATGAGTTTGGGTCGGGACTTGGCGGGAGGGTTTACCGGGGGGTTAGGGGGTAGGAATCATCAATTTTATGAACGGAGCTCCGTAGGGGTAGCTTCCTGTAGCCATGGAACCGGGCCGATTCTACTTAGGCTGTTCCGTTCAAATTATTTTTTCTGATTTGATCTGATTTTTTGTAGTTCTAATCTGATTGGATCTGATCTGATCTGATTAATTATGATTTGATTTAAAATTCAAATCAATAATTTCATTTGAGTTTATAATAACGTTTGAAAATTATAATGATAATTCATATTATAATATAATCAATATTTTTTATTTTATAATTGTTTTTTAATAAAATAAAATTAGTTAATTTATATATTAGAATAATCGTTCATATTTTAAGGTAATAATATTTTTTATTTTATGATTATTGTTTGTGAAATAAGAATATTGATTTAATATTTTAATAATTAGTTCATACATACATTAGAATAAATATTTAATTTATATATAATCAATATAGAGAAGAGATAGTATTTTTATTAAAATATCTCATCCTTATAAAAGATCAAAACTTTAGAAATTCAAATTACATGTAGCAATAAAAATGTATTTTAAAAGTAGAATTAGATTGACATTGTCAATGTATTTTTTAAAAAAAATTTGACGTCTAATAATTAAAAATTAATTTCTCAGTTATCTATTTAACTTGTTTCTAAAGTTTATTCTTTTTCATTTTAAAGAATAATAATAATAAGAACAACAACAACAACAAGAATAATAATAATAATAATAATAATAATAATTCTTTATAGGATCTGATCTGGTCTGGTCTTATCTGATTGGATCTGATCTGATCTGATTGGATCTGGTCTGATCTGATTTGATTGAATCTGATCTGATCTGATTTGCTCTAATATGATATGATCTGATTCGATCTGATCTGATCTGGTCTGATCTGATCTGATTTAAATAAGAATAAGAAAAAATAAGAAAAAATAAGCTGAACGGAACAGGGCCTTAGTACATTTTGAGTTCTTATTTTGTTTTTCTACTTTTTCCCCCTCTAATCAAACCAGACCACTTCACTTTTTTCCATCTCATTTTATTTTTTTTCTTCCTTAAACTTTTTGAACCAAACATAGTGTTAATAAACTCTTATTGAAGAAGTCAGATTTGAATGAGGAGAGAATGCAAATTATATCGTACAGCCAGCTGTACGGTTCTTCCCGTATAGCCGACTTAAAATTTAGGTGAAATATATTGCGCCATTTGGAGAGGAAGAGTAGACCCGACTTTGACTTGGATTTTTGCTATGAAATTGCGAAGGAAGCCGCACGATTTGGGGAGAAGAGCAAAGATCCGACCCTTACTGAGTTGATCTGGCGAGATTGAGGAAGCACGGCGAGATCGATGAAAATGGATGATGAAGGCGACTAAGGAAACTCTAATTGCGGATTATGATGATGAAGATGTCTCATAGATTTTCTAGCATTGATATACTATGAAGATGATGATGGTAAGATTATAAATGAGTAAATTCTATAATTAGTCTTTTATAACAGGGGGGTTTCCATATTTAGTCCTCTATTATCAAATATTACCCTCGTAGTCCTTTTTTTAAGGGTACCATTCCACAAATGGTCCTTTTTTTTTATCTTTTGTCGTGTTTGTGTTAATTTAAAGGCTAAAACTCTAATTTGACGTCAACATTATGTCTAGTGACGTGTTCTGATATTGGCTAAGCGGATAACACAAAAATAATGACTACGATTATGGGCTAGGATTCTGACGAAAGATCACATTTGTAGACTATAGTTGTCGTAAAAAGCGACTGCAATTCACAAACAACGCAAACGGAACAGCCTTTGGAATTGTGTATGACAAAAAAGATATATTATCATTGTGAAATTACACTTTTAGCCCTCAAATTAACACCAACATGATAGAAGATCAAAAAAAGGACTATTTGTGGAAAGGTACTCATAAAAGAAGGACCACTTGGGTAATATTTGATAATAGAGGACTAAATAGGGAAACCCCCCTATTATAAAGGACCAATTATAGAATTTACTCATTATAAATTATACTATATTTACGACTAAGAAGGGGATGAACTGTAGGTTACTTGCAATGAACATTGCGCTATTTGAGAATGAGTACTATTGTGATTTAGAATGAACACTATGCTATTCATAATTCAATATTTTAATTGTGTTGAACAAATGTTTGAAAATGAATACTACGTTAATTCAAAATGAGTACTATGTTATTTCAGAATGAATTCTACGTTATTTCAAAATAAATATTTACCGGAGTATGTTTTATGTGAGAATGAGTACTACTTTACTTTAAAATGAGTATTACTCAATTGCACCTGATTTCTCATACAAACGGTTGTACCATATACGAACTCGAAGGAAGAAAATGTATACTACATTACTACCATGGTAAAGAAGATTAGTGTGTACCTTTCGGTAAAGCCAACGAGGAGATTCCGGGAGAAACACCATTAAAACAAACTGAAATAGAGCTGGGACGCCGGCAACCCCTAGCATCCACCGCCATGTCCCTGGAGTCTGTCCAAAAAAACACACACACAAAATTGGTTTATTGCACCAACACTCCCTGTGGTTTGATAAATGCGCTCTGTTACCCTCCATTGATTGGAAATTTATGTCTGTTTCCCTTCATGATTTTGGTATTGCTACATTAGTGCTCCTGTAAACTAAAATATCTTTCAAATATTTGGGGAATGACTTTGTTGCCCCCTACAATTTTGGAAATGAGCACCAACGCCCCCTCTTGTTTTTTCTTTATTTTTTCCCTTTTTTCTTCTACGATCATCATAAATGTTTTTTAATTTATTTTTAAAATTATTTTTTATAATGTTTTAATAATACTCCCTCCGTTCTATAAAACCCTTTCCCTTTCGTTTTTTTCTAATTTCCATAAACACTTCCACTTTCTACTCTATTAAAAAAATCACTTTTATCCCTATTTGTTCATACTCTACCTAACACATCATACTTTTTCAATAATAACAAAAATATCACATCTTACTTTTATCCATCACATCAGGGGCAAAATTAGAAAGTCAACCAAAATCATACTTTCCTTATTTTGGCCCAAAGTCAAAATGGGAATGATTTTAAGGAACGGAGGGAATACAACTTTTTTGTGTTTGTGATAAAAATTCAATTAAATAAAATGAAATAACGTACACTTCATTTGTGTCAAATTAAACATTTTTATTATTTTATCGAAATGAAGTCTTTATTAATTCATTTTCACGATACAAAAATCAATAAAACATTCTCTTTTTACACTAAAGCTCATTTCTCATTTCCTGTTGATTTTATGATTTTTTTTGTTTATTATTTTTCAATTCCCTTTTTCTTTTTCAACAAAATTAACTTTACATCGTTTTTTTATTTTAATAAAAATTAAAATAAAAGAAAAAAGAATAGAAAAGAAAACAAAGAAGAAGAAAGGTATAAGAAAAAAAATACTTTTATAAAATATGAAAAATTAAGTCATGAAAGAAATCTTTTGCAAATCGATCTAAAAAATATTATTAATATATATTTAACTATATATTAAAAAACCTTACTCAGTATTAATTTGGTCTCGACATATTCATAAAAATAAAAAAAATTGACAAAAAAGTTAAATATTTAAATTTTAAAATGAAGTATATGTTAAATTTTTTATTTCATTTTTTATTTCAACAATATATATTTTATTTCTTAACACTTTTTAAAAGATATAGTTTTGTCTTTTGAAAAACAACTTTTATTATTTCAAACACAAACATTTTTCTTCTTTTTATAAAAATGAAAAGGAAAAAGAAAAAAACAATAAAGAAAAAAAAGGAGAGGAGGCATTGGTGCGCATTTCTAAAATTGTAGGGGGTAGCAGAGTTATTCACTTAATATTTAAAGGATAATTTTGTCAAGAGGGGCATTGACAAAGCAATATCAGAACTATGAGGGCAATGACGTAAGTTTTGAAACCATATGGAATAACAATGCATATTTACCAAATTACAGGGTATCAGTGGTATAAACTCCACACAAAATTAAATGCAATTATGGTTGATAAGGTTATACATTTTTCCTCTGATCACACTGTATTTGTTCAGTTTTAACTTTTTATGATTAGAATTACCAATCAATGACTATAAATTAAATAAGATTGGTTCGAGTATTAAATATTGATATAAAAGTAATTTTATTAGGTTTGTTTTGTAAAATGTTTTAAAAATATTATTTTATCTAATTAGTAACTACGTATTCGATATAATTTTTATTTAATTATAAGAAATCACCCTAAATAAGAGTAAAAACAAAGAAAACGTACCAAAATAAGAGCTCTATGATAATATGACACCGTATATGAGCATTTCACAATAATTTTTAGCATCGTACATTGGCTGGATATTGCATGATTGGTATTATATATGTATTTTAAATATTTTATGAAAATAAAAATATTAAATACCTATTTTAGTATATTTTCTATATTTTACTTTTATTTTTTTCTAATTATAGGTGAAAAAAGTCAAATATTGATTTTAGTTTATTCATAAGTCGAAATTTGACAAATACTTTGACAAAGACGTAGGAGAGAGTAATAATTGGGGGTAAATTTCACCAATGGTACCTGAACTTTAGCTGGAATTTCGAAGTGGTACCTGAACTTCAAATCCTTTCACAAAAATCCCTGAACTTACACAATCCTTTCACTAATGAGCCATTAGCCCGTTTCTAGGTTAACTTCCGGTCATTAGGGTCAAATTCAAATTTTATATATTTTAAAATTTTCAATTTGACCCCATTTCTTCTTTTCTTTTCTTCCAGGCCCCGCCGCGCCGCCCGCCGGTCAAAGTCGCCGGAAAATGAACTTTTTCCGATTCCGGCGGGACCAATGTCATTCTCTTCGTCTTGAGACGAGGATCAATAATATCCAAACCATTTTGTCTAATTTGTCCTGTAACTTCTCGAATCTGAATTTTTCTACTCGAAAAAACTCTAAAATTCGAAATTGGGTCTAAAATTGGGAGTTTTACAAATCGTCATCAAATCTTGCAATTGAAGGGTCCTTGGAGGTCGCCCGGATGCCACGACCACATTGGAGTTGGTGCCCGCCGTCAATTTCGCCGGAGTTGGCCGGAAAACGCTCCGACCCGCCAGAAACCGCCGGCGGAATCGGAAAAAGTTCATTTTCCGGCGACTTTGACCGGCGGGCGGCGGCGGCGGGGCCTGGAAGAAAAGAAAAGAAGAAATGGGTCAAATTGAAAATTTTAAAATATATAAAATTCGAATTTGGCCCTAATGACCGGAAGTTAACCTAGAAACGGGCTAATGGCTCATTAGTGAAAGGATTGTGTAAGTTCAGGGATTTTTGTGAAAGGATTTGAAGTTCAGGTACCACTTCGAAATTTCAGCTAAAGTTCAGATACCATTAGTGAAATTTACCCTAATAATTGGCACTCAAGAAAGGGCACCTTGGTGAAGGCAAGGTTGATGAGGTAAGACAAGAATTGGCCGCCGGCAATGAGGAATCCATTGGTGCTGACAAGGGCTCCCCTGAGTTTCGCCGGGGAGGCCTCGGAGATGTAGAGAGGGGAAGTCATTGACGCCATTCCGACCCCGAGACCCACAAAAACCCTCCCGGCGAGGAGAACGGCAGGGCCCGGAGCGGCGGCCATGCCGGCGGCTCCAACGAAGAAGAGAAAATCTGCCACCATTAAGGCGGCTCTTCTTCCATACTTGTCGTTCAGCCACCCGCCAACCGCTGCGCCCACGATTGCTCCGGCGACTGCAGTGCTCACCAAAGCCTCCTGCCACAATATTAGAGGGTTAGCTTACATTATGTTTGCTTGTAGGCCTGTCACCCAGAAATTAGGGGTCCTGGATAAAACTCAGAAAATAGGTCACTATGTCATAATGAAGTAGAATCTATAAATTATACTCCGTATTTTTTAACAATAATAAAAATAACTCTGTAGAATAGTAATAAGGATAATAAAAAGTCAAATTTATAGTCTTATAAATCTATAATTATATACCTTAATAGCTAGTCAGGAATTCCTGAAGTTTTTCTAGCATTTTTCAGAGCAAATTGGTTGATGTAGGACTTTTGATGTAATTTTTAAAAATGTAAATTTTCTTTTTTAATTTTATACCAACTTTAAAATAAAATAAATTAAAAATAATTACAGTCAAATATTATAAACAATAACAAGTGCTTAAATTGAGACGAAAAGTGTAATATAAATAATTAAATAATAAATAAATTTATATAATACATTTACAAGAAAGTGGGACTACAATTGGGCACTGTCCAAGTGGCCACTTTGCCCTTGGCTTGAGCCGGCCCTATTGCTTGGTTGAAGAAATTTGAAAAGGAAAAAGAAAAGGTATAAAAATAAGTCTCTTTGCTTGATTGGAGAGGAAAATAAAAAGTGGAAGAAAAAAGAGGGTAGAAAATAAAATAAAGGAAAAAAAAATTCTTCTGTTTTGGTGAGGAAAAAATGAGAAATCAAAATCTTAGTCTTTTTGATCATTTTCTTTTGATTTCCATGAATCAAACATAAGATAAGACTTCGATACCGAGTATTTCACACATAGTCATTGTCTGTTATGCATAAACAATCATTATTTGTGTATGTCGTGTAGGATTTGGTGTCAAAATTTTGATGTCAAATCAGGTGAGTTTTATGCTCTTTTTAAAGAAAATATGACAATGTCATAGAGGCAAGATCAGCACAGTGGTCAGGGTAGTGCCTCGGGAATTTTCAAAGCAATATCAAATACAAATAATACTCTGTAATACAGAGTAATAATAATAATAATCATATTAAGTTCTATTTTAAACAAAATTCAAATAATTAAAATTTAAAAGTTTCAAAAATAGAAAAAGAAAAGGGAGATGCTAGGGGTACACCAAAGGTATACTCCAAATGTCCCCCACCCCCTCTATAACCATTCATTTTTATTTGCTTTTTACTTACTTATTTTTTTTTAATTCTTTTGCTTATTTTTGTGGACAAGGAGGGGGTGGGGAACATTTGGGGTACACCAAGGTGTACCCCTAGCATTTTCCAAATATAAAATGAAAAATTTTCCCACGGGTCCAAAATAATTGTCAATGCTTCAAATAACGTAACACATAAAATCTTATCGCTTTCAAATGATGCACGAACAGTGAAATCATTTCTTTCATTATGCATCATTTTCATCTAAATCGAATTATATATATATATATATATATATATATATATATATATGAAAAATACAAAACAAAATAAGGGCAAGTTAATTGAAGGGACCATATTGTCCATCTATGACAAATAAAAAATATAGAGTGCTACTAGTAATTTTAGAGTGGAGGTAACAACTTTAGTTTAAAAAAATTAATGGCAACTTAAATACAGATAGTAGTTACTCTCTCTAAGTAAATTGTGTAACCTGCAAAAAGGTATTCCTCTCAACCGCCTTAAAGTCATCTCTGATATACAGAAGAGCCCCAGATATCACTCCTTCATCCACAATAAACAAACATACGAAGTAAAAATAATTAGTAATAGTTATAATACAGAATATTTACTCTCTCAATCTTGACTTAATCTTCTCATTGATTTTTATTAGTCAAATTGAAGTTTGTAAACATGACATCCAAATGTGAAAAATACATTATTTTCTCGATATAAATATTATATCAATAGTTTTCTTCTAGTGCTAAAAAAAGAAAATACGTAGTTTTCTTATAAAACATAGTTTTGAAATATTAATTTTTATAAAACAAATCTTTGTATAAATATCGATATTCATGGTCAAAGTCCAAAAGTTATTCTCTTACTTCAAATATATAAAATCTATCTCTTTTATTTAATAAAACTATGTTATTTACTCCGTATAAAGTAATATAAAAATAAAATGTAAAAAAAAGTAATCAAGAAGCCAAAATATTAACTGTGTAACAAACAAACAAAAAGATTAGACTTACACAAAAGATTAGACAAACACACAAAAAGTTATCGGTTTTTTTACTCGAAAATTGTGGGTACAAACACAAAGACCGATATTTAGACTTTCAGAGTTCCAATAAAGGAGTATTTAAATACGGAGTAGTTGTTCTAAAACTCATGCAAATTAGTTACGGAGTACAACAATACGGAGTATACTCCCTCCGTCCTATATCTTTCTTCCCGTTGCGCAAAACGAAAAAAAATCCCAAGTTTTTTCAATATATTTTATTTAAATATTGGTATAGAAATAAAAAATAAAACATACATATTTAAAAACTACATCAAAAGTTCAACAAAACAAGTGGTGACAAGAATATTTTATTTTATCATATAGGCCATGAAAAACAAAAATAAATATAAATTCCCGTGAAGTTGGAATAGTGCTCTGGGAACAAAGTTTTAGGACGGAGGGAGTATTACTTTTAACCCATCAGAAATGACTTAAATATTACTGAAAAAGTACGGACTTAAATAACTTAGGGGCTGTTTGACAACTTCTGAATCGGTAAGTGCTGAATCAGTAAGAGGTCTGAACCATTAAGTGCTGAACCAGTAAGAGGTCTGAACCATTAAGAGCTAGTATATTGCTTAACTATTCAGAGGCAAATATCTGATCAATTCAGATAAGAGGCCTTAACCATTCAGACTCTGTATAATACGTAACCATTCAGAGGCAAATCTCTTAACCATTCAGACATCTGAACCATTAAGAGGCTGAAACAAACAGTCTGAACCATTAAGTGCTGAACCATTCAGACATCTGAACCATTAAGAGGCTGAAACAAACAGCCCCTTAGAGTGCTTCTTTAGTGCACCTTAGGTGCATACTATTTTTGTAGACTTCGTCACATAAAAATGTTCTTTATATGGAGTAATTTTTAATTTAAAAAGCTGTAGTTTATTTAAGTAATAAAAATTACTTATTTTGTTCAAATATAGATTCATGGTGGACTTGAGTCCACTATAGAATTTGCCATTAAAAAGCTGAAGTTTATTTAAGTAATAAAAAGCCATCAGAAGTTATTTTACAAATACATTTTCTTGTTAGTGGTATGGCATTATGTAACTTTTCTTGTGCAATCTTGTTATATATAGCATTACAAATGAGGTAAATTCTTCGGTGGACCTAAAATTCATGTAATTTTATGGACCTTAATGTATTTCGTAGAATAAAAGAAGTGAGTCTTTTTCAAAAAATATATTCACATGTAAACTCATGAAAAATGTGAGAAGATCCATATTTTAAATGTAAACTTTGAGACAATGTAAGCATTATTCTACAAATGAACTCATTTGTGCTTCTTGAACATCTAAGTTTTGTTTGACATGTAAGTAATTGTAAAGAAATCACCCACGGGTTTTTAAAAACTCACTACTACTCAATTTTTTTAAAAAATTAAATTCTTTTTACATGGTTTCTTTGACAATAGCCTTTTAAGAATAAAACTTGAGACCGTCCTAACTCGGAGGGATGGTCCTACCATCATTTTTCTTTGCTTTTTTTAGCTACTTGAGACCAAACATGGGATCATGATATTGGAGATAAAACATCAGTATTAAAACATTGTCAAATTAATTATGATACAACAATTGGTGGAACTAGACTTGGTCCTAGCATTGGACATGCTCTTAAGGTTTGTTTCAAATAATGACAAATGTCAGCCTTCTTGAATAAAGAGTCTAAAAACAAATTCTAGAATTTCTAGTGTTTGGTATCACAGAGGTGAAAATGTCTTACAAAAATCGTGAAGAAAAAAATCTTAAAATACGAATTAGGTTTATTTCTATTAACTTTAAAAATCATTTTCTGTTGCTCCTATTTTTCAACATAAAAAATTCAAGCCTTTTGATTAACAAATACTCCGTATTATCCTAAAAGGAAAACAAATACGGAGTATACTTTATAGAGTATATGTGAGTGTTTCTCTGTCCAAGTCCTTATTGTTCATAAATAGCTTTTAATTTATAAGTTAATTTTTTTTCATGAAAATAAAATTAAATGACTTAAATGATAGTTAAGTCATTTGGAAATAATTATAAATTGTAAAAAATAGCTTTGTAAATAATTTTCTCAAAAATAAGTATTTAAAAAAGTGATTTAAAAATAAATAGGTATAGTAAGACCTATTCCCTCCGTTCCAAAACTCCTTCCCTTTTCTATTTTTACTTGTTCCACAAAATCATTTTTTTTCTACTAAAAAATTATTTTTACCCATACTCATTCTTAACTTACATATCACATCATACCTTTGTACTAACAACATACACATCACATCTTATTTTTACTCATCATATCAAGGGTATTTTTAATTTGAAAAGTCAACACAAAAGTATTTCTCCCTTAAATTTTTTAAAAGTCAAAATGGAAATATATTTTTAAGATGGGGGAAGTACTAAATTTTTTGAAACAATTTATAAGCACAAAAAAAAATATAATCAGCTGAGGATTTATCAATTAAAAAATACTAATAAACAATTTTTACTCACCCGCTTATAAACACATATAAGCACTCAGTGCATGTGTTAAGCCTGGCTACAATAAGGGTGCACGTACGGTATGACTTTGGTAAAGTCAATTGGGTACCAAATTATATGTATGTGGCATTTTGGTATGGAAGTAACTCTAACACTACCCCATCCATATTAGTACCAAAAACATTTGGCATGCAGGTCTAAATACTTACCGTCCATACCACATCTTACTTTAAACTTTTTATTTATACATCTTTAATATTTAAACATTTTAAATGATTGTTAAAAATTTTAAAACATATTTAAACTAGTGATATTTGCAACCTACTCGATTTATGATTTTTCATACCCATTTTAAAGCCACATTCTCCAAAAAGATAAACTAATATTGGATCTCTTAAAAAAGGATTTTTTTTAAAACTCCCATAAAGTTTTCTAAAAATATAAATGGTTTTAAATTAAATGGATTGCAATTAATTAATTTATATCACTACGTATTAGTTTAAGTTTATTGTTTAAAAATTGTTGTGGTAAGTTGGCGAATTGGCGCATGTCTATCGTCAGTTGTATGATGAAAAGTATGAAATTAGTGAAATCTAATGTGAGAGATAATGCACTAAAAAAGTATTGAATGTATTATTTATACCCTCCACCCCCCTACGTGTAAGATAAAATGTGGGGAGAGAGCTAATAAGGAAGGTAGGGATATATAGGAGAGGAGGCAGACCGGTGTCGTAGCCGAAGAGAAGGCCGCCCATTGCGGCGGAGAAAGCAAGGCAAAGAATGTATGAGTTCTTCCGGGCCAATGCCAAGCAGTCTCTGAAACCTGCGGCGGCGGCGGCCACCCGGTGGTCGTCCTCATCATGAACTCCACCTCCCTCCATTTATATTTATATATCTTCTCACCACCAACCAAACTGAGACAGAGATAGAGTTGTGAATGAAAAATAATGGATCAGCAGAGAATTAATGTATAGTAGAGGAAGAAGGAAGAGGCCTGCAGGGACCGGTGGAGTTATATAGCACTATATATATATATAACAGTCAGTAGATCATGGAGCAATTTTCAATTTAATTTATTTGATGGTAGGTGCGAAATCGAAACATAAAATTTATAGAGTAAAAAACAACTTATAAAATAAGATTGGAGTTTCGTCGACACTGGCCAACGGTGCCACTAGCGGTGTCACTAGAGGGTAGCAACCATTAATATTTTGAACGGAGCATTGGAGATGCTCCAAAAACGCATTAACACCGCTAGTGGCACCATTGGTCAGTGCTAACAAAACTGTGCTCATAAATTAATACTATAAATTAAAGGAAGATACGATATAACTTTGATATACTATTTTATGAAATAAATAGTGAAAATAAATAAGGGTGAGTATATATATAGAGTTTATGAAGGAAGATATGATATAACTTTGATGTACTATTTTATAAAATAAATAGCGAAGATAAATAAGCGGGAGTATATAGAATTTGACCCTATGACTATTGTATGAGATGACATGTACGGAGGGAGTAGTATTTTTGGGTATTCCGAAATATTTATTTAATTTTAACTTTTTCTAGTAAAAATGAAAAATTTCTAATTTAATCATTAAATAAATAAACTTAATATTATATATTGATACAAAATATATTTATTGGACTTATCTTCTAAAATATTTTCAATTTTTTAAATAGTACTCCGTATATAATATGTATAATAGATGTATAATAGGTATTAAATGTACTAATTGTTCTATATTTTGTTTTTTTTCTTATAGTAGATTGGATTTCTAAGTATCTGTTTAATTTTGACTTTTTATAGTTGAAGTTGACAAATTTTGACCATTAATTAATTAAATTGATATTAGATATTTATACAAAAATAATTTTATTATATTTATTTAATTTAATATTTTCAACATATTATTTTAGTTAATTAATAAATCATAGAATTTTATTTAATTATAAATTAAAAGTTGATTAAAGTTAATTGCAAAACATCAAAAGTAAACATAAACTAAGGGGAGATGTATTCAATTGGGATTTTCTATGCCTTTTTTAACTTTACAAAGTCGAAGGATTTACAAAATCTGTAGACTCCATGCAGAGTTCAACCTACTTTTTAATTAATTTACGTAGATTTTGGTCATAATCTTTTATTGATTTATGTGGATTTCTACCTCGATACACAAACTTTTTAGGTCCAAAATTAGGATAATCTAGATTTGATTTCAAGTGGGAAAGAAAAGATAAGGATTCATTGCTTAAGTTCCACCATAGCCAAAACGTAGCCGACGATGTGGGGCTTTTTCTCCGGTCACCATTGCCGCAATAGAGAGAGTTGCCAAACTCCGAACTCCGTCACGGCCGTGGTTGCTGTTGTGTCTGATCGAAAAATAATAAGAGGGGGAGGCATCGATTGAAGGTAGAGGAGATCGCCAATGCTGAAGCTGGTCATTAATCGATCAGCGATCGTCTCTTTGTGTGTTGGTGTTGCCGCCGATAGACCAAAGAAGGAGAAGATAAGAAGTGGTCATGGTTGCGTGAAATATAATTCATGCGGAAGAATAGGAGTCAGCAAAATTCCAGGGCTGTAAGTTAGATTTTGAAACTGGATTTGTATTTATAAGCAAGGCATGATGATTCATCAAAATCTACATTTTTAAAAAAATTTTAAGAATCCATCAATTTTTTAACACTATCATATTTAGAAGGATTTTTCAAAATCTAAATTGAATAAATCCAAATTTTAAATGATTTTTAACATCTAAATTGAATACACCTTTCTATAGGACGGAGGTTGTACTAATTTTTCTATATTATATATTAAGACTGTGTTCTTTTGGATTGGAAAAAGTTACTCCCTCCGTCCGGAAATATTCTTCCCATTTTCCTTTTTGATCCGTCCGGAAATATTCTTCCCATTTCCTTTTTTAGTATACTTTTTAAGAATAAATTTCAATAATACCCTTCTATTTTATCACTAATCTACTTTTTTAGTAACTTCTAACTTTTTCCAAATCCTTTCGGTTTCTTCCAACTCCTTCAAGTTTTTTCTAAATACTCCTAGTTTTTCACTTAAAAATGTATTTATATATGATGAATATACAAAATTATATATCCAAATTTATAACAACTTTTATCATCATCAATTTAGTAAATATCTTGTTGTATGTTGTAGAGATATGTTGGTATTGGTATAATTTGATTAGATTTATTTTACAGTAAATTCCCAAAATGATGCTCAATAACTATCTGTTTTTCCAAATTAATCCCCAAAATTAAGTAATTCCTGAAACAGTACTCGTTAATTGAAAATAATGCTCAGTCGAGTCCTCCTGACTAACGATCGTTAAAATAGTGTTAAAACGACGTTAAACTTATACGTAATACTCCCTCCGTCCCAGAAAGAATGTCACATTTACTATTCTGGCCTCTCGATAACTTTTGTTTGTTTACTCGTTTTGGTTGACCATTTGATAAAATAAAATATTCTTGTCGCATCTTGTTTTGTAGAGCTTTCCATATACTTTTAAATGGTGTAATTTTTACTTTTATTACTCTACCAATTTGAAATTGAAGTGATTTTAAAAGAGATGATATTCTGCACGTCGTTCGAAGTGTTGCAAATAAATTGGGACGGAGGGAGTAATATTTTCCAAAATACTACTTTCTAACTGAGTGTTTTCTCAAATTAGTATATTTTCGAAATAAAATTACATTTAATTATAGAAAAAAAATTTAAATTTTAAAGGATGACAATATAATACTAAAAACTACAAATATATTTTTATAAATTTGAAAGTAAATATTTTAGATCATTTACAATTATTTAGAAGAATATCATGTAAATAAAATGTTAAATAAACGTCAAAGAAATCACCCTGAATAGTAGTAAAATATAAAAAAAGTATCAAAATAAAAGTTCTTTCTCTATATTTTACTTCTATTTATGATAATTTCTTTAACATTTACTAAACATTTTATTTACATGATATTCTTCTAAATAATTGTTAATAGTCTAAAATGTATACTTTCAAAATTATAAAATTTGTTTATAGTTTTTAGTATTATATTGTCATCCGATAAAATTTAAAATATTTGTTATAATTAATATACTTTCATTTCAAAAATTGATCAATTTGAGAAAATACTCAGTTTGAGAGTACCATTTTGGAAAAGTAGTATAACGTTTAACGTTGCTTTTACGTCGTTAGTCGGGAGGATTGAACTGAGCATTATTCTTAATTGACGTGTATCATCTTAGGAATTAGTTAATTTTGATGACTAATTTTGAAAAACACATAGTTATTGAGTCCATTTTTTGAAATTTGCTCTTTATTTATTGAAAATCTTTCCAAATTTTATTTCATTATATTAATGTGAATGAGAAATTAAATTTAAGTGACAATAAAAAAATTCAGTTTAACTCAAACAAAAATCAAAACCAAATGAATACTTTATTCTCGAAGAAATAGAAGGCAAAGTTTGACTTTAATGGTTCATATTGTAATGTTTCCACCGGCCAGGAGGGAAGAAAGGTGAAGTCAGCCGTGCACACGCGATTGGACCGGCCAAAGGTCGTTTTTTGTATAGTTAAAATTTTAACTTATAAATTATGAGTATAAGTTATACTCTCACCGTCCCACTGTCTTTGTTCACTTACCTTTTGACACACCATCCAATGCACTTCTTTAATCCATTTTATCTTGTAATTTGTATATTAAAAAATTATATAAATTATATATTAATAATCTATATGTTAAGACTATTTTTAGGCTTACACATTGAGAGAATTTGATGAGTCAAAGTGCTTAGATGAACAGTTCCAAAAGTCAAATGTGGACAAAGACAGTGGGACGGAGGTAGTATATTTTTTCGTAAAAATACGGTGGATTAAATGATAGAAAAGTCTTTTGGAGATGCTTATAAAAGATGAAAAATAGTTTTATAAATAATATATGCACGGTCAAAATGGACAAATGAAAAAAATGGATTAAAAATAAGTAGGTTATTCCTACTATTTTTTTTACTCATAAACAACTTATAAGTACACGTCATCAACTAGCTTAGCTTATAAATTACCAATAGCTTATATCCAGTTTTAACATAACCGACTTATAAACATAGAAAAACATCTAGAGAAATGAACAATGTAATATGAGTGTCGACGATTGAGTATCATTCTATCCTCAAGTATTGACTCACGATTCTCTTATTCACGGTTGAAGAAATATGTCATGTTTGCGCAAGGTGTGTTTGGATCGATTTGAAGAACATGTAGTACATTGTAGAGAGATACATGGGTTTTACTATCAACATATTTGGTCAGGGACGATGTCCTTGACATATTACAACATGTCCGAGTTTTTGTTTAAAAAACGCGTGTGAATTTATTGACAGATCCCTTGGAAGAAAGATCCACATCTAGATCACCTGACATTTTGATCTTTGAATGGATTTGTCATTTGTGATAAACCCAATTATGTAGATCTAATAGGGTATCTCTTTTTGTGGGATTGGGAACTGGTAGCAGCAGCAAGTAAAGTGACCAAACACGAGAGGTTGTGCCTTAACAACCAACATGTACGTGTTTATACCATTTACATTTGACACCTTTAGTTTTCCTTGCACCTGAGGCTGTGGAACTAAATAATATAATCGAGATCAACGCGTCGTGCATAGTTATGTTATAACCCTTGGAATTATGAATGTAGTTATATATATACATACACACATACACACATATTTCAAAATCATATTTTCAAAATACAATTTTTTAAAATAATACTTTTCCATGATAATAAAAGGATATGGAAAGGCTCTCAATAAGTCAAGTTATTAGATGATCGAAGAACACTCTTGGAATCGGTTTTGCCTCAAGGAAAGAGTTTTAATATGAGATAAAATGTAGGTACCCAATTGTATTAAAAATGTTGTAAATAAGTATGTTGTAACTTGTAAGAACAAACTTTGGGTTCTTCAAGTATATGATATAGGGGTAGGTTTGGATAGGCTCACGAAATGCCTTGGGTTCTTTAAGTATTTGATATGTTTGAGTTTAAGGAATGTTTTGATGATTTTAGAAAGATTTAGAAAGAGTTATTAAGTTATTAATGTTTCACCAAGATACAAAAAGAATTATATCAAAGACTACCTAAACTCAGGACAATCTTTGATCTTGTCCCTTATCATATATATCAACTCTTTTGATATTATCTGATGGATAACCTGGACAGGGGTATCCGGTCTTTGTATAATATTAGTTGAGGCGGTCCAGTCTGTTGGACCGGCCCGTTAGTTGTATGTTAATTATTTATGTAAGGGCGGCCCAGTCTGTTGGCCGGCCCATTAGTCCAAAACTTTAACCCTAACTCTCCCTATTTATACCTCTCTCCTTGAAGAGGGAGGGGAGAGTGGGGAGGAAAAGGGAGGCTCAACATACACCACACAATACACTCATTTTCTTCATCCTTATTCTTCTTCTTCATACACTTTCTCCTTCTTCCTCTACCCATGAATTCCATAATCAACATTATCACAGACAAATATTTATCATTCATACTTGGTTTAAATTATCAGACTTAAAAACAATGAGCAAAACACATTGCAATGTATGTATTTATGTAATATTACATTGTTCAACACCCTTCTCAAGCACAGGGAGGCCAAGACATGTGGCTTCTTATAAGCGAGTTGGTCGAACACTGAAAACTGATCATTTTTATGGGCATTCTCGTCACTGTGGGTTTCGAACTAGCTCCACGATATCTTCCCCGCACTGAGGCATTACCTTTTTGCACCGGGAAGTGGCTTAGATGTTGACCATAGTTTCTTTTTGGAGCTGGGAGGATGACGAACCTTTGATCTTAGATGCTGCTCAACCAAAGTGCCTAGAGTAATGACAAAGTCACACATCTCCTCTAAGGTGAAAGGGAGGACAAATAACGATTATTGAGCATTGTCTTTTTTACTATAGTTGGTCATGCTCTTGGTAGCAACCACAATTACCAACTGAAGGTGCCTTTGGGAAGTTTATTTCCAACACACACTCTATTCATTTTTTTCATTTCATATATACTATTTTTTCACTTTGTAAAGTTTATTTCTAATCAATTCTCTTCATTCTTAACGTGTGAGTGTGTGGGGGTGCACATGTTAAAAAGAACGTTTATATTAGAAAATATAGTTTTGTATTCTAATATTTTTAAAATAAATTAAACATAATTTTGGAATGACTTTTGTAGTTAGTGTAATCACAGTCATAATTTGTCTACACTAGTTAATTTCTTTAGTAGTATCCTACCTTCTAAATATTTTCTAAAAGAATAAATTCTATAATTGGTTCTTTATAACAGGAGGGTTTCTCTAATTAGTCCTTTATTATCAAATATTATCCAAGTGGTCCTTCTTTTATGAGTATCTTTCCACAAATAGTCCTTTTTTTGATCTTCAATCATGTTGCTGTTAATTTGAGAGCTAAAAGTGTAATTTCACAATGATAATATATCTTTTTTGTCATGCACAATTTCAAAGGCTGTTCTGTTTGCGTCGTTTGTGAATTATAGTCACTTTCTACTACAACCATAATTTACAAATGTGGTCTTTTGTCAGAACCCTAGCCCACAACCATAGTCATTCTTTTTGTGTTATCCGCTTAACCAATATCAGAACACGTCACTAAACATAATGTTGATATCAAATTATACTTTTAGCCTTTAAATTAACACCAACACGACAGAAGATCAAAAAAAGGACCATTTGTGGAAATGTACCCTTAAAAAAAGGACTACGGGGATAATATTTGATAATAGAGGACTAAATATGGAAACCCCCTATTATAAAGGACCAATTATGGAATTTATTCTTTCTAAAAATTAACAATTGAAAATGACATAGCACAAGAACACTATAAGAGGAAAAAAGCTAGTAATTTAAATCAAAAATTTGAAATTTGTGAGAGGAGGATAAAGAAAGTTTAGTCTACTTCATGGAAAGGAGGGTTAAAAATGGCTAAACTCCATTAGTCCATAATGGTGCTATAGACTTTTCACTATTTTCTTCCTCTACTCGAAAAAGAAAAGGATATTGAAGCAAAAGAAAAGAAAAGAAAGAACCAAGTCGCAGTCCTCTCCCCCACCGCGAACTCAATCTCATCTGGTCTCTGATCGGATCAGTGAATCGTCGTTCATAGATCCTCCAGTTGCCATTGAATTCATCCGCTGATCTGTGCCAAAAATGGGTTCTTCAGGTCCAGATCTGGGCTGTAGAGTCTTCCCGGAGGCGGCCGATCTCTTCGACTGCTTGCCGGACTCGCTCGTCATCATCGTCTTCAACAAGATCGCCGACGTGAAGGATCTCGGACGGTGCTGCGTCGTTTCGCGGCGGTTTCACTCCCTCGTCTCCCAAGTCGAGAACGTCGTCGTTCGTGTGGACTGCGTGATTTCAGACGATGATGCCGCTTCTTCTTCGTCGGCGTCGTCTACCGCCTCCATTGCCCACAGGGCCCCTCACTCTTTTTCCTCCCTCCTGCGGATTGCCTTTTCGGGGATTCTGAAGCCCATCCAGTCTCTGTCACAATTCATCGCCACCTCCACCCGATGCGATGTGGCTGCCATCGACTACGATGGATTTGAGCAGGACGTGGTTACTCACCACTCCCCCGGCCAGGTTTTGAAGAATTTTAGGGAGATCAAGTTCCTTCGGATTGAATTGCCCAGTGGAGAGCTTGGAATAGATGATGGGGTTTTGCTGAAATGGAGGGCCAATTTCGGTTCCACCCTTGAAAATGGTGTTATCCTGGGTGCGTCATGGGCTATTCCTCCAGCAACCCAACAAACAAACATTGATACTAGCATCCCTGGTATTCTTCAGCAGGCCAACACAACCACTGGGTCGGCCATAGATGAAATCGCCGAGCACGAGTTTCACACTAATGGGGCACTGAAACTGCGTGTGGTATGGACGATCAGCTCGCTGATTGCAGCTTCTGCAAGGCATTATTTGCTGCAGCCTATAATAGCAGAGCACAAGACTCTGGATAGACTGGTCTTGACGGATGCGGATGGTCAGGGTGTTCTTTCTATGAACAAGGAGCAGCTTGAGGAGCTGAGGGTGAAGCCATTGTTGGCATCTGCAGCATCAAAGAGGACTATGGTTCCAGCTCTTACGCTCCGTTTATGGTATGCCCCTCATCTGGAGTTGCCAGATGGCACAGTATTGAAAGGGGCAAGCATGGTGGTTATCAGACCAAGTGAACAGCCCAAGAATGATGTGATTGGGACTGATGGAAATTTGATTGCTTCCCTTTTTGAAGAGCCTTATGGGACTGCAGTGAGGATGTTGGTGAAGCGAAGGACGTATTGTCTTGAAATGAACTCGTTCTGAATGTGCAATCCATGGCTAAGTTTTTGGAAGGACTTTAAGGGTATGTTTTTTTTTTAAATTTTGCGGATACAGAGTAATTATATCATGAGTTCTTGACTTATGTTCTATGTTATTTGCAAGGGATGACAAGTATCTCATTATTCATGTTACTATTGTCTTTTTCCTGTATCATGTTATGTGTTGGCAATGCAATAATTTTGCCCCAATGTTTTTGTGTGGCAGCCATTTCCTTGTATTTAGTGTTTGATGGATTCTTTGTTAAGTGATTTTATAAATATAATAACAGTGGTCTCTGATTTTTTGGCTAGTGATACCACCGAGTGTACAATGCTAGACTACACTAGAATGGATATTTTTGCATTAAAGTTTTGATCCACATTTGCCCCTCCCGGGGTTTGTTAATTTACTCTGGTCTCTGTATTAGTACCAAAAAATTCAAAGGGTTGTAGATGACACTATTATGTGGTTGCGTTTTCAATATTTCCTTGTTCAGTTTGTTATACTTCTAAGAAGATGCTCCTTAGTAATTCTTATTTGCTTTGTATTATTAACTTGCGGTTTCTCATGGAAAATAATAGCCATTATACAAAGCCCATATGTTGTGTTGTCATACAAATTAAAGATGTCTAATACTCGTATTAAGATAGCCCCNTAGCCCCCCCCCCCCCCCCCCCCCCCACAGGGGAAAAAAATTGTTTGGAGTTTTAGGGTGTTTAGATTTCTATATTTAATTATATGATGCATATTGCTACAAGATGTGGTTACGCAAGAAGTCAAGCATATAAATGGGCTTTTATTGGTTGTGCTTCGGGATGCACATGTCGATTTTAGAACATCATTTTTCGAATGCGACATGACTATAAGTCTATAACAACAACAATCTCACTTCGTTGGTGTCTCATGATATCCCCCTTCAAGTGGAAAAGAATGATTTTGATTGCAATTTTTAAAGAAGGTTGCAACATGAAGGGTATCCCGCGTAAAACTTTGCCACCATGTTTTAATGCATGAATTTGTATTGTTTGACTAATTTTAGAACATTTCATGATACTAGCCACAACATAATTGGAATTAAGGTGGTGGTGGTGGTGGTGATGATGATGTAAATCAGTACATGTACTTAGAAAACACTACCATTTTTTGGAGTTCACCTGAGCCATTTAGTCAAATTTTGTACTCTCAAGAACTCTTTTTATATATAAGATGGGCATTCATAATTTATACGGAGTAACTACTATCAGCAGTCATCCTCTATATGTTTGTTTCCCCATGTGTCATCAGTTTATTTATCACTACTCAATGATATATTTTGTGATTGATTGTATGCTATATAAATTAAACTCCCTCGATCTCAAATTAAACACCCCGTTTGTTTTTTATGGAGTTTAAGCAAAAGTGGAACTGTTTAGTAGTGATTTATGCATTGGAGAAATAAATAATGTGAATAATTCAAAGTTTCCCGTAACGAGTGAGACGTTTATTTTGGGATGATGGGAGTAATTGCTTTATGATTTGGATATAGTCCACTATCATGGCTCCATCCCTTCATGAGTTGGACATATAATATGTTGGTGTGTTTGGCGTCTACTATATGTGTTGCTCTCTTTGCATTTATCAGTATGAAAAGGCAAGCCAAATCTATTGTATGATCTGGTCATTGCCCAAATCTATATAACATAATAACTAGTGGTTTTATGCACATATACATAAATTCATGGTCCTCATTATTCTCAACGGCATAACTTTTACTGTTTCATTCAGATCGGCGATTCTAAAGAAGGCGATTTTCATGCATTGTTGAAGCCAGAGTTGTTTTTTTCTTTCTTTTCTCATGGGAGCTTGTAAGACTGCCATTTTGACAGTTGATCAAAAGGTCTGGCCAGTAAATGTGTTCATCTGTTGGGCCATCATACTAAAGATAAAGAACCAACCATCAGCTGACTTCATGCTATAGAAGCTGTAAATGTCTCTCCTCAGTTAATCAAAAGGTAAAAGCACTTGTCTTTTTTCTTTCTTCCAGATCTCAGTGTATATGCCCTAAGAATGCATATGGATTGAGTTGTAAAGTCTTTATGCATTTTACGTCGTCTCCTTTGACACATTTACTATTATATTCCTGTGAATATTGTATTATATACTCGTTTCGTAACACTTTTGTAATGTTAATTATATGATGGATTTAACAACATTTAACACTTTGTTGCAACAGATTTGTCTGTTTCTTTGGTTTTTTGAGTCCTCTTGTAGGGACTGTGTCTTTGCAGGCGCGTGTTTTAATTGTCAATGATTTTTTTTTTCAATTACTTCCTCTCTTCCCATTTAACCATAACTTTTATGATGCATTAACAATTGAATGAACATGAACATACATCCTCTATTTGTTCATTCAATTTTTTTTGAAGTATATCATAAAAATCCCAATTTTAATTGCCGAATCATCGGTTATTCTAGATTTGTATTGCATATCAATGCAAAAAATACAATGTTAAAAGTTCACTACAAGATCAATCTAATAATTCAAAAAAGTCAAACTGGATGAATACATTAGAGCTATAAGATAAATCTAATAATTTAAAAGTCAAACTGGATGAATATAATAAACAAATGAAGTACTCTGTATTAATCTTAAAAACCCCAAGGGTTCCAAGTGTGCCCACTTACTAATGTAGCATCTTCTGCTCATCGCTAGAATTACTTACTCTTTTCATTTACATTTAACTGATAATTATGATTTTTGAGATACAATAAAAGTTGAACAAATATTGGCACCCTGCATGTATGTATTAATTCAACATTTTTGTTTATCTCAAAGATCATAATGATCAGTTAAATATGAATAGAGAGTATTTGTTACTCTACTCACCTCTAGCGCGAACTCAGAAGAGGGTCGACCATGAGGTTGACGGTATAGCACATCAATAAGAAGTTTAAGAAGGACCCGGCCGTGCCGATGATAATAGCCACCTTCACCTTTGTGCAGAATTCCGGTGACATGTTGCACACCGGCCACCATTGCACGTGGCGGTTTCCGGTCCGGAGAAGAATGTAAGTGTACATTGCTGCCCCCAAGTTTGCAACACTTAGCATGTTAACAACCTGGCCCAAAAACATGAAACCTTAGTGTGTATTGTATTAGTTTTTCAATTTGATTTAAAAAAAATTAATAAAAATTGCCTTAAAAAAATAGCCCGCATAAATTTTGGGACTGAGATTTATTTAATTTTGAAGATAAATGTCATGACTATGAAAAATGAGAGAAGTATAAATTCTATTATGAGACATGTGAAGTGAATTTCATTGCATGATGGGAAGGGAATGATGAAAGAAGAATACCTAATTATGATTAAAACATGCCCCATAAACTAATACACACTATAGATTGTTTCAAAAAAAATATACACTATAGATAACATTTTGAATGTTTATATATACTTAAACAAGATTTTCAATGTTTTTATGCAAAAAAGACCTTATAATATCAAATAATACTCCCTTTGTCTTTAAAACACTTAATACTCGGGTAATCATTTAGCAATTTAGCAAACCCATAGAAGTTGCTCTTACAATGCCACATAACCATCGTAGCTCCGACTCTGGCCACTGGAGTTGACCGGTGCCCACCACGGAACCACCATACTACCACCACACTCTACCATTACATTATAATCATTCACACTCCTATATATCATCACAACGACACTCATGTTTTGATATTTTGATGACATTTTATTACTACTATCTAGAGACCTTTTTTACTTCCTAGGGATCTAAAAAAATTTCGTGTTTTTTGAATTTTTTGAAGTCAAACATTGACACTTTTTTATCATAAATTAAACATAATTTAAATAAATAAATAATATAAAAATTTGAAATTTCAAAACGATATTCTTAGATGAACCTAATTATATTGAATTTATATTATAATTAAATATATTTCTTTCATAATTTGTAATCAAAATATGTCATATTTGATTAGAAAAAATCAAAATTCAAAACAAGAAAAATTTTTATCATAAGAGACAACATATAACAAAAATGAAAGGGATGAAATTAGTACCATATCGACGGCGACTATAAATCGCCACAAGGGAGTTCCATTGGGAACAAAAATAATGAGGAAGCTGTAAATGCCTCCAATAATTGCCATAATCGTATAGAACCTGTTCAAATGCACACAAGGAGAATTAAATTTTTTCTCATCAATATTTATATAAATCAAATTTTCATAATATTCTGTGTTTAATTATTTTAAACAATATTTAATTCAAGGTAAAAAAGTAACATAATTTAATTAAAAAAGTAAAACTGTAACAATATTTTGAGGACGGAAGGAGCCCCTTCTAACTTGCCTTACTCAAACTTTGAGCCAAAACATTTTTCATGGCGACCCCCTCTAGGGTTTGAACTCGTGATCCGTTAATCAATAACATTAAAAAATTGACTCAATCACGAGTTCAAACTTAGGGTTAATTAATGATACAACATTTTCTTGATTTTTTTTTTTTTTGAAAAAAAGAAGATAAAAAAATGTATATTACTGGAAACTGCCCCAAAAGGTGGTTGATAATTTGAAAGTAGTATTGTCATCATCAGCCACAATGAGTTGATGGGTAAAGATCATTGTGAGAGCTGCAGCGATGAAGGAGGCCCCCACCATAAGTCTGCATGCAATTGACCATTTCGTCTTCGCCATCGTCCCAAATTGCCAAACACCTTATAAGAATAATAATAATAATAATTAACTACGACAACTAAAGATTAATTGGAAAAACGAAGGCAAAAAATTGGTCTAATGATGCGTAGGGTTAAGTTAATTAAGGTGAGAAAGAGAGCTTCTAGTTTTGGTAAGTTAATTAATACCGAGTAATATATTTCGAATATCTACATATATATATATATATATATATATATATATATATATATATATATATATATATATATATATGTAGGGGCAGGTTCCTGTGAGAATGCACCTTGTGGAGAGAAATGAGAATGAAATCTAGCTGTTGGATCTGATGCATCGTGCGGCTCAGATTGCATCCTGCGCTCAGATTTTGAGATATTGCATTTTGAAAGGATTATGATGCATTTCGACGTGATGCATTTTTAAACCATTTTGTTGCATCTAATTTTGATGCAATCCTGACCCTTAGATCGCACAATCTAAAGCACCAGATTCATTCTCATTTCTCTCCTAAGATCGCATTCTCACCAGAACCAATATATATATATATATATATATATATATATATATATATATATATATATATGGACTTTATTATTTTAAATGGAAATTTTTATTATTATTGATTTTATATTGGGTGTATTATTAATGGAGATTCTTATGTATGGATACTATTATATATGTATATTATTATATAGAAATATTTGCACTAAATAGCACTAAAACTTAAGTCATTTCCCTATAAAGTACTTAAACTGTTTTATTCTTTAAATAGCACTTAATAATGTCAATAATGTCCAGTAATGGCAAACATTTACTTGAATAATGACTAATGGATAGGAAAAAAAATACATGTAATGCTATTTAAGAAAAGTTGTTATATTTTAGTACTATTTATGTAAATTCCCCTATTATACATGGAGATTTTTAATACTTCGTAGTAATTAATTTTATATTATTAGACACAGTCAGAGATTTAAAATAAATAAATATATAATTAATATAAAAATTCAATATCATAATCATGTAACGATGCTAATCTTCATAAATATGATTTCGATATTCCTATATATAATAAAAAAATCTGTATATAAATAAATAATAAAAATTTAATATAATAAAAGTCAATTATATTAAGTATATATCATAACTAAATATAAAATATTTAATCAAATGCGGTCAAACATTATGAAGATATGAAAATCATTATTTGTAGATATTAATATATATATATATAGACTATTAATTGTATGTGAATATTTTTTTATTATGACATCTAAATAATCAATCATGGTCAAAGTTTTAAACTAATCATGGTAAAATACTTATTTACATCACACAAAATCAATTAAATAAATAAAGTAATCAACATAAACTAATTTGAAACTAGGAAGAAATAAAATAAAAGTATATGGAGTGGTGTATTTTTATTTGCTTTTAGGCACTATACAGAGTATTAATAGACTACTTCTTTTAGGAAAAATTGTCAAGAATAGTCCCAATTTTATTTGTTCTTTCAACTTTACTAGTTTCAGTTTAATTTTCATTAATTACCTTATTTATTTTCATTAACTTTGTATGGTTTTAGTTATTTTTCTAATTTTTGTTATTTTTATATCTAGTTTTTATTTTTTATAAGGTAAGACTAATATTTAAGAAAGTAAAAATAAATGGTGGTAGAAATTCATTTTAAAATTTTAAATGAAAATTAAAAAAAATTAAAAATGAAAATTCTTCAAAATAATCCAACTTTCTTTTTGTTGCGCAAAACAAGTCGTTTTCGTTAACCCACAATTAGCAACTTAATAGTGACCAAAAATCATAAGTTTCAGTAATAGAAATCATCCTAAATAGGATTAAAACATAGAGAAAAGTACCAAAATAGGACTTTCATGTTTTTTTCCCGGAATAGGACTTTGCACTATGGTAATGTGACTTTGCATTGTGGTAATGTGGCAGTGTACATGTGCAAATTACTACCGAGTATACTTTTTTGGTAATGTATATGACCATGTCTGGTAATGTAAGTCCTATTTCGGGAATAAAAATATGGAAGTCCTATTTTGGTATATTTTCAATGTTTTAATCCTACTTTGGTCTTTCTCCCTTTCAGTAAAGTTGAAACTATTATACTCCCTCCGTCTCTGAAAACCTTTCTCCTTTTCTTTTTTCATCCGTCCCAAAAAATACTTCCCATTTCTATTAAAAAGTCACTTTTACCCCTTACTTTTTCATACCCTACCTATCACATCATACCTTTTTACTAATAATCTGTCCATCAAATCATACTTTTACCCATTACATCAAAGGGCATTTTTGGAAATTCAATACCAAAATACACTCCCCTTAAATCTCTCTTCAAAATCAAAACTCACATGTTTTGCGAGACGGAGGGAGTACATCACAGTAAAATGTAAGATTATCTTTGAAAGACCATGTGATTATTCTAAATATTTTTTCCTATTGTATATGGAGACTTTTTATTATATATGGAGATTTTTATAATCACTTTACACTATTAATCATGGTCAATGCTTTGAAATCTTAATATAGTTTATAAATAAGTTTTTCCAAAATTTGTAATTCATTTGATATTCATGTTTTAAAATTATAAAAAAATTTAAAGTCATTGGTTTTTTTTCATATTATAAAGTCGTGCATTTTTTTCATATTTTTAAAGTCATTGATTTTTTTTGAATGTTTTTTTTTATTTATGAAATTTTTTGGAATCATATACGGAGTATATAGATATATGAAGACATTTTGTGATATTAATAGCAAAATTAAAACATATAACAATAAAACTTAAAGTGTCGTGTCTGCAATCTTCACGTCGTCTCTGCCTCGGTATGTAACCAATTGATATCTTGTGTGCATTAGAATTAAGTGTTGTTCGAGGTGACTAAGCATTGCTATGTGCGAATATGAATTGCTCTGTGTGACCAAGCATTGGTTTGTTTGACGGCGTGTAGTTGTTTCAGGAAGTTAGTGAGGCATAAAATGAGTCCATGCTTCATACTAATCTATGATGACTAGATGAACCATGTTTCATTGTAAAGAAAAGATACATATGATAGTATACAATTTTTAGTTTCTGGTTGTCTCACTGATCACTAGAATGACAACGAAATGCAAAAAAAGAGCTGTAGACCTAGATGAATGTGAGTGTCTTATTCTAGGCAAAATCTTCCGTGGACCTAAGGTTCATGATCATTATATATATGAATCTTAGTGCATTTATCTTATAAAAAGGCGGGCCTTTTCAAAAAAGAAAATATTTACATGTAACCCAATGAAAAATGTGAGAAGATACACATTTTAAATGTGGACATTGAGATCATGTAAGCATCACTTCTCATTCCAATATCATATGAGAATGACGGTAAGAAACAATGAATTCAGACAAAGAGAGATAATGAATTAAAACTTCACTACTACAAGCAAGTTGAAGTTCACTTAGGGTAAGTAAGGAAGTAGACGTACCCTACGAGCAAGATACACTATAGTGTAATAGTGGTAGCGATAATGACAACGTCAGCGTGCTAGAGTGTACTACTCCGATTTAAAGCTTAAAATATTCCCCCAAATAAACCCCTTTTGCCATTACACTATCCTTTAGTGCAATGCCCTGATTTGAAAATGAATGATTGCGGAAAGAAAAGGCTCAAAAAGATTGATAGTAATACTCATATCAATAAGATGCATTTTCTTTTCTAAAACTCATCACTTAGTAATTCCAAAGTTATGTGTGTAAAGCCAATTTTTTCCGCTGGGTAAAGTGTATTCTGTACTAAGCTTAGAGCAATTCTAAGATAGGTGATCCCATGAGAAGTTCCTTAGGTGCGCACGAGCGAGAACAAAGTGCCCGAGAAAAACTTGTGTTATTTTCTGGGCCAGTCTACAATCCTATGAGCAGACACTCATAGTTAGGGTGGGGGCCGATTTGAATCTAAAGTTCTCTATTTCCCCTTGAATAAAATGTCTAGATTTTGGCATTTGAAGAAAGTTTGTATTGAGTGAATTTTAAAGAGACCACATACTTTATAAAAAGAGACCACTTACTATATTTAGTGTTTACAAAAAAAGAAAGCCATATACTACACTTGTTCTTTACAAAAAAAAGGTGACCACATATTACACTTGTTCTATATCAAAAGTTTGGTCACATACTTGTTTACAAAAAAATTGGCTAATTGCTACACTCGTTCTTTGCAAAAAAAAAAAAGGTGGCCACATTCACTTGATTTTACAGATACTTAGCCACAATCTTCACTTAGTTGTCATCATCCATAAACTGTCTCACTGCATCTTCATCCAACATCACTGTTCAGTCCACTTCCAACATGCTTAAAAAGTGTTGGGCTTTAGCTAATGCCTCATTCATAGTGCAGGCTGAGATGGAAGTTCTCCATGCCCTAGAAGTATATTCTTTCCCGCATGTGGAATCTTGTAAACATTACCACCTAGAACATTGAGCACTTCCCGCATAGGCTTAGTCACATAAAGTTTGAAAATTGTGGATCAAAGTCACAGTAAGACTTCACTACTTCAACTAGGTCATCAATGGTTTTGTACCTATTTTCTTGTTGTAGAGCTTCAACATCATTAAAGTATCTCAAGTCTAGAACATTTAGGAGAGTGGCAGATCAAATGGGTTGGAATGGAGGGTATTTGTATTTTTTTACACAACCATATCTCACTTCTTTAGTTTTTGATCCAAAAAAAGTGGACAAAAATAGTTAGACGGAGAGAGTAATTTATTGATATTAGTGTTACACACTAACTTCCTTATATTGAGACATATTCTTAAAATCATTTTATCTACAAACAACTATTTTTGAACAATTAAATTTGTCAAATATTTTTTAATGAACAACCAACACAAACAATTGATCAAACAACCTACTCAACTAGTTATTCAAACCCGACAACACCACTAATTAACAGTTGGCCAATCCCAATCAAGACCAAAGTTTATTTTGGAAGTATTAAGGTTGTACTCCCTCCTTTCTGTAAAACACTTCACCTTTCGTTTTTTCCAATTCCCTAAAATACTTCTACTTTCTATTAAAAAATCACTTTTACCACTACTTTTTCATACTCTACGTATCATATCATACTTTTTCACTAATAATCAAATTATTACATCTTATTTTAACTATCACATCAAGAGCAAAGTTGGAATGTTAACCAAAATTATACTTTCTTTATTTTGGTCCAAAGCCAAAATAGAAAGTATTTAAAGGAACGGGAGAGTAGTTTATAAAAATACTTCTTATCCTTTAATTGGCTTTAAAAAAGAAAAAAAAGGGTTGTACTCTATATTTTTCCCAGCCCTAATCTAATCGCACCTTCATAGTTCGGAAGCATCCACATTGAGGTAGTCGCATTATCACTAGGCTTCATCCCGATTGAGGCTTTCATTGCGATCCATCGAATTCTTTGATTTTCAGTTCTGAGCTTTGCATCGGCATATTTCCGAATTCGCGTGGTTTTCTTCCAAGGTTTGTTCTTGTTTTCTATTCCCAGTCTTATGAGCCGACTTTTAATTCGATGTTTTTAAGATATACCGAGTATATACATATTCGATACCTGTATAAAGACTGGATTTTTCCGTAGATGCAATTCTGTGTGTGCAAATTGCGTGCTTTTTAGTCGCTTGTGATTGATTGGTTCTTGAATATTAGGTTAAGTTTGTTTTTTTAATGCCGAAGAACGACAAAAGGGGACTTAAGTGTCTGGTTGAGTAATTAGGGGTTGGTGTGCGAAGGAACTTGTTAAAGTTTATATTTTTAAGGATTAGGTTTAATCTTGTTTTCTGTTTTTGGTTCTTTATATTAATTCTATTATTCGTGGGATTTGTAATTGCAGTATACTTTTTTATGTTTTGCTGACATATGTTTGATATCTTTGTATGTGAGTAGGTGGGAAGTTCTTTGGTGCTAGATGGGTGAAACTGGGAAGCGAACTCGTAGGCACGATAATGATAACAAGAACCAGAAAAGGAGGACAGAGAGAGGCGAGCAGGGCGATGCTGAGCTGGTTGTCTACAGGATTTTATGCCCTGCTAATGTTATCGGGAGTGTGATTGGAAAGAGCGGGAAAAACATAAATTCCATTAGGCAGAACACTGGTTCAAAGGTTAAGGTGGTGGACCCATTTCCGGGTGCTAAGGATAGGGTCATACTCATCTATTGCTATGTGAAAAATAAGGAAGATCTTGAGGTGGATGGGGAGTTCAATGACAGCAAACCACTTTGTGCTGCACAGAATGCTCTTCTTAAAATGCACGAGACAATCTCCAATTGTGTTGCTTCATTTAGGGAGTCTGACAGCAAACACAAGGAAAGGGAAGTTTGCCAGCTTCTTGTTCCTACTAGCCAGAGTTCAAATGTCATTGGGAAGTCTGGGGTAATCATAAAAAAGCTGAGAAGCGTGACAGGGGCAAACATTAAAGTAACTGCAAAGAACGCCAGTGATCCAAACCATTCGTGTGCATTGGAGTTTGATAATTTTGTGCTGGTTAGTATTAGTTTTTACATTGGACTTACTTTATTTCAAATTTTAAGTCTTTTATTGTTATTCTTAAATCTAGAAAGAGTGCTTAATTTGAGGAAGTATTTCATATGTATGTTTCATTTTGTTCTCCTAAGCTATTAATCATTATGATGATAATATCTAGGTAACTCATAATGTTGACTTACATCAATAAATTGTATTTCATTAACATTGCACTGTGTGCATGATGCCATGATCTGTGATGTGC